TCAACAATAATTTTAATTAAAGATAATACGAGAAATTGTAATTACAGGGCGAACTGCCAAGAATTTCAATTGTCTTTCGCAGACTAGTTCTATCTCTTACTGCTGTTGCTATCTCTGTCTCTTCACTTCACTTTCACTTACTCGTTCTCTATAGCTCTTTTCTCTTTCTTCCTCTATCTCTCTCTTTCTGGCATTATCTATCTCCTTCCCTCCGCTCTCCATCACTACTGTTAAAAATACGCCCCGGATCAGGGGCGCCACACACGTGAACTTGACCGTGACGTCGCTGTTGGCAGCCACAGTGAAAGCTCACTATAACGAACACATGTAAAACTTGGCCTAGTCCAAGGAAAACTAATTAGAACAGCATCAATTAGCCATAACTCGTCCAATTAGCGTCAAAGCAGCAATTCGCTAACTTGGTATTCACTGTAGCTGTCAGAGCCGCCAACAAGTGTCTTCGCGCGAATGACGCAATGTTCGCGCCACATTTGAGACATGAAACCCTAAGCTGAAAGAATCTATGAAACTTACCACCAACACAGCCGGCCACAAAATCACAATAGTTCTCCCACTTCATAGTTCCTCACGTTTTCTAAATGCAGTTGCGCCTTTGGATTATCAATTCCTTTTATTGATTTTTTAATATTTGTTGCGATGTTTTTGTCAACTGCATTTGGCAGCGCGAGCTTTGCGACTGCAATCCAATCGGAGCGCTGTGTTGCAGCATATCTAAAAGCTTGGCGGTGCGGCGAGCTTTGCTGCTGTCAAAGGCTCGTTGCTATAAGAGCAGTTGCAAGTTGAATTTGTTATGTTAAGTGATCTCTCTCACTCTGGCACGCTGGGAAGCCAAGTGAACTGCTTGTTTGATATCTTGCAGATCACTGTTAAGTTACAGCCAACATACTCTCAAGCTCTGCCTGCTACAAATGAAAAATCCACGGGCCATGTATATATACATACTAAATGTCATTGTTTATTGTTGTTGTTGATTGATCTATTTGCCTCTCTGTTGCTCGTGCAGTCGTTAGCAACTGCTTAGATTACTGCTTTACCTACTTGCTGAAAGCAACCAACTAAACATTTATTTTATACATATACATATTCATATATATATATAATTTTTATATATATTCATTTTCATTTATTTTCTCATAATTTCTTTGTATTTTTCACTTTTTTTTTGTTCTTTTGGTTTAAATGTATATATTTTCTTTTTATACTCAGCATAAGATTTTAGTTCTTTTTGTTTTTTTTTTTTTCTTTATGTTCTGGGGCGAAAAATAATAAATAGAAAAATTTGAAAAACCTAGAACAATACGAACCAAGAAAATTCCACAGATAGGTTATATGATGTCTTTACAAGTCTAGAACATAAGAAAATATTTCACATTTTATAATTTATGCAATATGTTTTAATATTTGTTAAAGCGACTTATATCATTTTTTTTTTTTACTTTATGATGCGACTTTATTTTTATTTTTATATTTTTTTAGTACAATATTTTTTATTTTTATTTCTTTGTTTCTAAAAGTACTTAACGAGTTTTGCTTAGACTTTTAGCTGGCTAATCTTCTTTTTTTTTCTTTTTCTTTTTTTAACATGCTTTTGTTTTTATTTTTATAACTCTGCTTCTTTATATTATTTATTTTTATACATATAAATACATACAAACTATATTTAATGGTTTCAAGTTTAAGAAAGCAGGCTAAAAACATTAACTCAGAGTGCAACAGAAAAAATTAAAAAAAAAATCACAAATTAAAAAAAAAATACAGAACAACTCCTTATATAGATATACATATATGTACGCATATATATATGTGTTCTCATTAATCAGGCATTTTTAACATATCTTCTGTGTTTTTTTTTTTTACAATTCTATATTTAATATATATTTTTAATATTTTAATTTATTTTTTGTTTTTTTTTTTTTTTTGCATTTTCACTTGGTTTTTCTATGTGAATTTTTAACATTAACTAAGAGAGTTTTATGCGGCTGCTGCTAGACAGGATATAGTAGGGGGCGTGGCATGTGGCATGTGGCTAGAGCATTTTACTTGATTTTATACTCATTCAGGAAAGTGAAGTGAGTATATTTTTGTTTTTCTTCTTTGCTAAACTTTGATTTGTATAGTTAGTTATGCAACTTCTTTTTTTTTCTTTAATATTTTAATTTTAATAGATACCTTTTTTTTTTAGTTTTTACTTTATTGCTTTGCTAGAGCTGCATGGGAAAATTACTCTGCCATTTGCACATAGAGTTAGTTTCCTAACTGATGCAACTTGTGACATGCCAGCAAATGAGTTTTCTTCTTCTTCATCTTATCCACTTCTACTTTGAGTCTATTGCTTTTGAAACGTTTTAGTTTTTAGTTAATTTACTCTCTTTGTCTCTCTCTCTAATATAAAGATGCAAAACTTTCCTTTAGATTCATTTATACATATTTATATATGTATATATTATGTGTTTAATTTTCGTTTTTGCATATTTACTTTATAAGATTTTTAAATAATATTTTCATTTGTTTTTTGTTTTCTTTTTTTTTTTTTGTAACTCTTCATATGTTTGCATATCATATTTGACGTTTCACAGACACAATTTTATTCAACATATATACGGCTGCACTCAAAAAAATAATCAACCCAACATCTACGTCTAAATTAATAACAATTTATATTCAACTCAATCTTCGTTTCACATTGTTTTCTAAATATTGAGCCCATCATCAATTCGTTTCGCTCAACATTGGTGTATTATTTTTATGACCGCAGCTGTATATGATGTACTATATATATTTATATATATATATGTAGTTATATGTATTGTTGTAATTAATGTTTGTTATATTTTGCAACTTTTGTTTAATGCATGTCTAGATACTTTATTTTGCAATGGGCGTGAAGTAAACATATATGTACATACATATATGCCTTTGATTATGTAAATTTGTTAAATGTGTGTGCCATAGATGAGTGTCTATATATTTTTTAAATTTATTTTAGAACAGCGGCTTTTTCTTATAAAATTGTTTGATTCACTTTTTTAAATTTTAATTTTTAAGTATTTACATAGAATTTGTTGTTTTTCGAAATTGTGCGCATTTTGTAGAAGAGTTTGAAAAGGGCAGAAAAAAGTCAAGAAGAGATTAGTTTTTTATATATATATATATATTTATTTTATTATATATTTCTATTTTTAGTTGTGCCGCTGCTCTAAGCATATTCCATAAATATGAAATGCGTGAAAGTTGTCTGTGTGTGTGTGTGTGTGTGTGTGTGTTGCCTAGCTCTAGGTTTTGCATGAGTTTCAAACTATAAACTAACTTTGACTTTAATTTTTGCATGTTTATTTCGGTTTTATTTGTTTTTTTGTTAGCCTACAACTGTGTTTTTATACAATGCATAATTTTTGTTTCTTTTTGCTTTTTCTTTTTAAATCATTCTCAATTTATAGTTTTGTAATTTGTTTTTAACTTTAATCTTACAAGAGACGCTACACAAAACATGTACACATACATTCCAAATATATATATATATACTTGTATATAGATCAGCATTTGATGTACTATTATTATTATTATTATATATGTATATGTAAAAGTTGTTCAGTATTCAATTTTCTTCTCTTCGCTTGTGATGAATGCCGCTATATATATACTATATATATATCATATATGCATATAGTTTTTACTCCAGATATCGAATTAGTTTTCGTTTTGTTTTGGAACAGTTGTTTACTTAAATTTCCTTTATGAAAGTTGATGACGGCATGTGCAACACTTAAAGATAAGTAACAAAGTTTATTATTATATTTTGCATAGTCTACTACAATATATATATATATATACACACACACAGCACATATGCATGTGTGTGCATGCATATGCATTTTATACAAATGAAGTTCTCAGTGGGTTTTTGCCTATATATGTAAGCTGAAAGTTGGACACATACCAGAGACTGCTCGAATTTCGAATGCTTCCGAAATTTAATTTATACATATATATATCAATATATATATATATATAGCTATATAGTTTATACACATTTAGAATGCCTGTGTGTGCACGGGGAGCGCGAGCGTTCAATAGAAAACGTTAACTACAGTGTTTATTATGTGGGTGTGTGTGTGTGTGTGTGTGTATTGTGTCTGTGTGTGTGTGCTGTTGGGGCAGCTGTTCTAGGCTAGCAACACATTTAGTTGTTTATTTTGCTTTGTTTTATTTTGTTTCTCTGCTACATTTATTATTTTCATTAATAATATTTTCAATGCGTGTTCTTAACATTCATCGAACATTGAGGCTCGCTTTTCTCTGCTTCACTTATAAACGATTTTACGCTTTATTCAATCCGTTTTGCTTTACTTTCTTTAAGCTTAAACCTAATTAATAATAATTACTTTTTTCTCATCTTTACTTCTTTTTTGCTTGCTCTTGTAATATATATATATATTTATATGTATTTATAATATGTATGTGTGTGTGTGTGTGTTTATTATTATTATTATTATTATATTATGTAGAATTTTTGTTGCGCTCCTCTCATGCATGTAGTTGTAGCCACGCCGCTTGCAAAACTCACAACGCGTCCTGCCGACTTGCTTTTGGTGTCCTTGTTAAACGAGTATACAATTTAGTTTATTTATTTTTATTTTTATTATTATTATTTTTATTTTGCTTTTAAGTTTTTAGCATAAGCTGCATTTTGTTTGTTTATAACTATTTAGCGCCAGCTCAACAAACGTTTATACTTAATTCATTTTCTTTGATTCTTTTTTAATTTTATATATGTATATATAGATGTACGTGTGTGTGTGTGTGTGTGGGTGTGCGTGAGCCGGCTGACATTTCGTGTGTGTTGTGGTTATTGTTGTTCGTGTTGTTCTTGCATTTAACTGTATTGTGATTGTTGCTGTTGCCCCTGTTGCAGTTGTTGTTGCTGCTGCTGTTGTTGTTGTTTATCATTTAGTTTCCAGCGCGCTTCGCGTTGCATCTGCTTAGTTGTCTGGCTTCTCGGATTTATTTTTTGCATTTGCTGTCGCAGGATTATTGTCAGCGGCAACGCTGTTGCTGCTATTCGACTGTTGCTGATGAGAGTTGGCTGTGCTTGATGACGAACCCGACGTCGACGCAGCAGCAGCTGCAGCAGCCGACGCCGCCGCAGCGGACGTTGCACTGTTTGCCGTTGCAGCGCTGCCGCCTGCGGCGCGCCCGCTGGAACGATTTGATTCGAGTTCGTGCAGCTTCTTCCACAGCTCCTCACGATCGCGTTCACGCTTCTTTTCCCTGCAAAGGCAAAGGAAAAATCAATTAATTTAACATCAACTCGAATTTATTTATAGACCGAATTACTTTTGCCTTTCCGCCTTGTAGCTGGATGTTAGCTCATCGAATAGCTTTGAATTCATTTCCATAAACGTTTTCAATACATTGTAAACAAGCGCAACAATCGTTTGATTCCAATGCTCCTTGCTGATGCGATAGAGCGCCGGGAACATGATGGGCATTATGACAGGATTGTTCTCCTCGATAAGCGACATGGCATATTCGTTATTCCACAGATATAGAGCACGTTCAGCAACCTATACGGATTTATATTGTTTAATTTCTATTTAGATCAATATATTTGTAATAAATTACTTGAAAATGTGGACTCGATACGCATTTGGCTATCTGACGGAACAGCGGCTCCTGTATTTTGACAAACTGTGGCGGATCGATCACATCCAAGATCTCCTCAATTTCACCCAGGAACATCACCTCCTTTTGGGAGCATGTCTTGGGCCAAAATTTGAGCAGGCCACGCACCACCGGCTCGGTGAGGAATGGATCCTTCTCTAGGAATTGTACAATGCAATACGCCAGCTGTGCATGATAGAGCGACAAGCACTTGACTTTGTGCAACGGCAACAGGACCTTAACCAAAAATTGTTTATGTTCCGCCTTCAATGGCAAGGCAAAGCCGTTGATGATGCTGCAAGAAAAATAGTCCATCTCTATAGTCCTCACTTCATTTAGAGATCTCATTCATTTCACTTACCTGCCAAGAATCTCGAGCAGTTCACCAACGCCATTGAAGTGCTCCGTCTCATAGATGAATTTCAAGAATATGTTATTGATCTGTTTTCGTATAAAAGCACGTAAGCCTAAGAATTTGCCATAGATGCGATGCAAGACCGTCTTCAGAAAGTCACGCTCTCGCGGATCCTCCGAGTCGAACAGTTCCAATAACTGCAAATTTCAATGATTTTTAATACATGTGTGTGTGTATAATATCGATCTGATGATTCCGTTTACCTGCAGCACAAACTTTTGATCGATCACACGTTTGCCAATGGTCGCCTGAAAATCTTGGGATTCCAAAAAGCGCAAGAACACCTCGTATACCAGCTGCAAATGGGGCCAAGACGCCTCCAGTGTTGGATCATCCTCCTCTGGATCAAAATCCGGATTTTCACTAGGCGGCAATGTTCGAAATAAATTGCAAGAAATCTAAAAGAAATAATGAAATGAGAAATGAGTTCAATAGGACTGCCTCTGGTTTATTAGCTTCCCATTTGCTTACCATGCGTATTATTTCGGGATAGACCGGCTCCGTAAGCACGCCGCGACCATGTGTTATATAGGTGGATAGGTCATTGAGAGCAGCACGTTTGATTTCCTTGCCCTTCAAGTCCGTCACAGGATCCATAAAGTCAAATGATACGCAACACTGACGTAATTTCCGTATAAACAACTCCTCCTGTTCGAGGCTCGAGCAATCAGCTAGAAATGAATGGATTCAGTTAATAGATTGTTCAATTTGTGAGTCTTAGTTTTTTTATTCAGTCACCTTTTAGTGGCGGCAATTGCTGCAGCTCAACATCCTGAGAGTTTCTGTAGCGCGAGGAACCTTGACTTTTTTTACTCTTCTTTTTGAGCGAACGTTTGGCGAACGGGTCGATTCGATCCACAAACGTGCCCGATGACATCTTTTCAGATTTGGGTTCGTTTGTATCGATGGCGGCGGTCTCCGTGGCTGACTGTGTGGTATTCAGCTTGCCGGCTTTGATTCCAACGTTTGACAATTGAGATATATTTTCGGCTGCAGTGCCGGTTGCACGCCTCACCACGCCCCCACGCACGCCCACGCCCTCGCCCACGGCCGCGTCGCCCTCGTCCTCGTCCTCGAATTCAGTGGTGGTGCCGCTGCTGCTGCCGCCGCTGCCGAGAATTGCGACTGGTTTCTTGGTGCGCGTCTTGCGTAGCCAGCCAAATATTTTATGTGTTATGTTGGCGACTTTTGCCGTTGAGTTTGGCGTCTTGCAATACTTTGTGCCACGTAATGCACGACCACGACTCTGACTCCTTAACGGTATGCTGGGCACTTCCTTGAGCTGTTCGTGTTGTTGGTGTTGTTGCAGTTGCTGTGTTATGTTGATGGCGGTGTTGATAGTATAACGACTTATCTTGGCATTTAATATGCGTGAAGCCTGCTCAAGTAGAAGATTCAATTGATGTTGTTGCTTTTGTTGCTGTAGTTGTTGCTGCTAGCAGCTTGTTTCCTTGTTGTTGTAGTTGTTTTAAATTCGTTACACTGCAAGAGCGAAATAAAGTTGTTAATTAATTAATGGATTGAGTGATTGATTGAATAACTTACAAAAAGACTCAAGATGGAATTCACTATAAATTTGATTGACTGCTTGATTCAAGATTGACTGATTGATAGACTTGCAAATCAATTAATTGACTGCTTGGATTTCCAAAGAGTTAATTGATTGCTTATAGTGACAATTCACTACTTGTCAATTCACTACAAGTCAATACTTGATTGATTAGTTGATTGACTGCTTATGCTGAATTGAATCGAATGATTAGTTGATTGATTGCTGATAAAGAATTGACTTGATTGGTTAGTTGATTGATTGCTTATAGTGAATTGACTTGATTGATTGATTACTTATGCTGAATTGATGGCGACTACTTATACTGATCCGAACCGATTGATCAGTAGATTCCTTATAGTGAATTGACTCGATTGATCAGTTAATTGATTGCTTATACTGAATTGACCCAAAAGATCAGTTGATTGATTGCTTATAGTCAATCGACTTGATTGATTAGTTGATTGATTGCCGATAAGGAATTGACTTGATTGATATGTTGATTGACTGCTTATAGTGAATTGACTTGATTGATTGATTGCTTATGCTGAATCGATGGCGAATGCTTATACTGATCTGAATCGATGGATCAGCTGATTCCTTACATTGAATTGAATCAAGTGATTAGTTGAATAGCCTTGATTGATTGATTGCTTATAGTCAATCGACTTGATTGATAAGTTGATTGATTGCTTATACTGAATTCACTTGATTGATTGTTGATTGATTGCTTATAGTGAATCAACTTGATTGAATGCTTATACTAAACCCATTTACCTGATTGACTCTTATCACTATTGCTTAAATTCGCTAGTCCAATTGACTAAATAAACGTTTGCTTGATTGATCAACTGATTTGCTTGACCACTAATTCATAGATCAAATGAAACACATATAAATAGACATTTTACATGCTAAACTATTTCATTAATTGTTCACTTGATTGACAATCAATGCACAGTTCTGAATTTCACATTCATTCTCATATGAATATATATTTATATACAAGCAATTCATATAAAATACTAACTTAGCATATATAGGAATTAATATCTAATGCCTAACTGCAAATCTAATACCTGCAACTCACCTGTGTATTGTTTGTGTGTTGCTTCGTTTGCTTTTCTGTAGTTTTCTTGACTTTTCTGGTTTGTTTGATTTTTGTTCAATGGAGGGATTGTTGCATTTTCTATATGCGCCTTATTGCGGTTCTTGTTGTTGTTGTTATTGTTGTAATACTCGCTTAGCTTCTATGTAGCTTGCTGCTCTGAATGGCACATCAATTCGTTTCTGTGTGTGTGTGTGAGAGATAGAGAGACTATTGGAGAATTTGCTATCAATAAACAACAAAAAAATAAGCACGGATCACATATTCTCGCGCTCGCTCTCACGCTCTGAGTGTGTGCGCGTGTGTATGGTTGTGGTTGTGGTTGTGGTTGCGGTTGTGTGTGTGTGTCTATGTGTGTGTATATGTATGTGTGTGTGTAAAGGCGCTCTTGCTTCAGCACGATTTTTCTCTTGGTTGCAAATTTCTTATTATTTTTGGCATCACATGCACTGCAATTGAAAGAAGAAGAAGAACGGCATTAACTCATATGAAACACTCACATATAAAAAAAAAAAAAAAAAATCAAATCAAATCGATCGAACACATAAATATCATAAGTTAACATCGAACAAGGAAGAGCGACATTTCAATTGGGTGCAACTGACTGTATTAATACTCGTTCACAGTCCACAAAAATAGCTGTAAATTCAATATGTTTGTATAGATCTTCTAAAAGTTCTCAGCGCCATTTTAATCGAAAGAGTATTCAGTATATACATATAAGAAAAAGTCATAGCTAAACATATATATTCATAATTCAAGTGCCTAAACAAAAGCCAATATACTCCATTTCAATTCAAGAACAAGTATAGCAATCGTTTTTTTTTTACTATTATTATTTTGCTATCTAATCAAAATGCTTGGCACTTCTCCATTTAATGCTCTTGCCATATAGATAAGAGGCAAAGTTCTGATTTCAGTTGTCATATTCATTTTGCTTTGCTAATTATACAAAACAAAAACCATATAGGAGTTTATTTACAGTGTACTGAACAGGTTAAGGTTAGTCTGCGATATTTATATTATAGTTCTCCATCTAAACGAATCCCTTCGGTTCATAGAAGTGATCAGGGGAGAGCCTAAAAACATGATAACTTTTCCCATAGTATTTTCCTCAAGTTTTATTTATATTTATTTCTCTTTCTATGCCTTTTCTCTTCAGTTGAGCTTCTGCTGTACTTAATCCCGCATGCACAAGTAAAAATAAAATACCAACCGCAACTGAGTCAACTATCAAATGCAATTTGCACTTTACAAATTGAATTTAACATCGCGTTGATTTCATTTCCAGCAGAGGCTGCGCTAAGCCCAACACAATTTACAGCCGCAATAAAGCTATAAAAAAAGGCTAGATTACCCCGGCTCAATGCTAAACGCTACGGCAAGTTCAATAGACTCTGTCAGATCGAAACTATATATTATATTACGAGACTGCACGAACTGTCACGTTTTTCCGTCTGACTTTATAAATACATTGCAAGTAGAATAGATTTCGTGTCTGCTCGTTAATTGTATTATTATATCTATTGTATTATTATATCAAATAGTATATACTTGGCAAATTTTAAGAGCTTCCCATACATGCCAATCGGGCATTTAACTAAATAAGCAAAGTTTACTTTAAAGTGCTCGAAAGACAAAAAAAAACTCAAATTAGTTTTAGCTATTAACAGAGTTTAGACAAGGCCATTTAGTTTCGCAATTGCCTGGCTTTTGCCTAGGGTATACCAATATATGTATTTGCATCTCTATGTTTGCTTGAGAACAACACACGAGTGGGAGAAAAGCCAGTGGAAACATGTTAAACACGTCTAACACACACACACACACACACACACAGAGAGAACAAGAGAGAGTGAGAGAGAGAAGGAGCTAGTTGCAATTGTTGGACAGGGCGTATGAGTGTCGTCGATCGACTTTGACTTCGACTGGCGACAGCTGTTGGGCCTTTGGTAAATGCAAAAATGTTGCGGTGAGGCGAGACAAGAGCCAGAGCGATGTGGGCGACTTGATTTCGATTGACAAACGACCAAGTTGCAGCGCTGCCCGGAACTGTACAAATGCCACGCCCCCCCTCCGACACACACACCCTCTCTCTCTCCATAGTTAGTAGCTCCCGTTTTTCCAGTCGCTTTACAAAAGCCATCAGAATTGCTAGAAATGTTACAGCTGAGTTTGCATAGCTCTATTGTCTGTATTGGCCATTGTAAGGATTCTCATTTGTAGCTGAAGTATATAGATATATGTGTATATGTGTAGATGAAAGTGCATGTGTGTAAGGGGAAAGAGAGAGAGTGGGAGATTGGCTGCCTGTTGGCAAAATATTAAATGCATTTTACACAAACTTGATTCAATTAATTTTCATATTATGTGGGCATGGTCTGCCCACAGAGAGAGAGAGCACCACACACCGCCGGAGATTTAATATAAGTGAAATGAAAATGAAAAGGAAACCCACCATTAACGGTACTAGCGACAGCTGGGGACACAATTACGAATACTATTAAGGGGGCACACAGCAAGGGGGGGAGTCAGCAATTATTATGTTATTTTCACACATACACACACACACACACACATACATACAGAAGCAAAACAACTTTAATGTTACCTTGGGGCTAGCCGAAAATGTACAACAACAACTAAAACAACAATTTGCAAATACATTATACTAAATAGATACCCTGTAAAAATATATACAAAAACTATGGCATTATCTGACTTAACTAAGAAAAATTTGCTATATAGTTTTATATATATTATTTATATTATATAAATAAATTTAATTGTATTGTATAATAATTATTATTTTTGTTATTTTTGTATCATAAAAAGTTATTTTATTTTATTTTCCAATTATTATTATTTGGTATTTTATATTTATATTATATTTTTTTTATTTAATTTTTTATTATTTTTTTTATTTTATTATTGTTTTTTTTATTATTTTTTTTTTATTTTATTATTTTTTTTATTTTTATATTTGTTTATTTTATTATTTTTTTATTTTATTATTTTTTTATTTTATTATTTTTTTATTTTATTAATTTTTTTTATTTTACTATTATTTTTATTTTATTATTTTTTTTATTTTTTTTTTATTTAATTTTTTTCATTTTATTTTATTTTGTTTTATTTTTTTTTATTTTATTATTTTTTTTATTTTATTATTATTTTTATTTTACTATTATTTTTATTTTATTATTTTTTTATTTTATTTTATTTTATTTTATATTTTTATTTCATTATTTATTTTATTTTGCAATTATTATTTTTATGTATTTTATTATGTTACATTTTTTTCTATTTTTAATAATTATTTTTATTTCATATATTTATTATTTATATCTTTTTTGTTAAATAATATATTTTATTGCCCTTTATCAGCATTAATTATTGCATTTTACTCAATATAAATCAGCGCTCATTCGCTCCATATGCATACACACACATGTATATACATACATGTGTATTTATATATTAATTTCTTAATTCAAGCAATTATAGATTAAATGGAGTATATTAAGTGCTCAAGTGTTCTCAAGAGCTGTTCGACGCCTTTGCATAGAGTTCAAGTGCTTGGCTACCTTGATAGTCATTCGCATTTCAACGCTCGCCTGACTATATAGAGCTTCTGCTCTGCCGCTGACTAATCTGACTGTCTATCTGCTGACTGACTGACTGTCTGTCTGTCCGTCTATCTGTCTGTCCGCCTGGTTGGTTGCCCTGCCCTGCCCTGCCCTGCCCTGCCCATTGGGTGAGAACGCGGTCAACAATATGTCGTCTAATTCGTGCATGTTGTACAGTTGTTTTTATTTTTATTGT